GTGCTCTCTGCTTTGGTGATCAGTTGCTGACAACCTCGTTTGCTTGTTTATTTGCTTGGAGTATAAACGCACTATTGTTCAGGATCACAAATATCAATAACTGAGTAGGACACTTGCTTTTCTGAGAAGTAACGCTTATGTCTCCAAAATATTAAAACTGCCAAGATGGGACCACGTTGACGCTTTGAAATCTGACTTGATTGATGGCAATTACTGCCGTGGTCCAAGTGGAAACCTTTGCATGGGCCACCGGTGTCCACGTTGTCATAACGTTTCAAAGAAAATTCTTAAAATGCATTTCTATTTTGTATCTTGAAAGCTTTATTTGAAACGTTACGACACCTTGGGCACGGGTGGCCCACACAGAGTCTTCCACTTGGACCACGGGAGTAATTGCCGTCACTCACAACTAGATCTCAAGAGGTTAATGTAGTGCCATCTTGCCTATTTTAATATTTTGGAGTTTGCGTCGCAAAGGGCCTAATTCAAATGTAGACGTAGAAAACGCGCGTAACTTTCGTCACCACCTTTCTCAGTCAATAGGTCTGGCTCAGTTGGATCACGTGACTCCGTTTAGTATCGCAGTGAACTAGGTTTCCGCGTCTGTAGTGCAGTAAGCAGCATTAAACTACGACGTATACGTAATTTTGCGTAAGAACTATCGCTTAGGATTACGGTCAGTCCAGTAATTCAAATATGGATGCAGAAGCTTGCGACGCGTATCAGCAGAACGATTGTGACATTCACCTCGAGTTTGCTTATATATGCGTCCACTTTTCGTGCCATTTTTTGCCAAATGCTAGTGTAGACAAGGAAACTTAGCTTGCATGTTCATGGTGCGCGCGTAACAGCTAGCAATTTATAAACATCCTTTTTTCGATAAAGTTGGAACTCCCTCTCAACGGTCATGTGTGGGAGTTTCGGTCTACATTTGCCTTGGGCTTACAATACGCCTTTGCCTTCCCTCCTGCATTGCCTTTATGTATTTTTGTACAGCCCCACAAAATATCTACACAGTCGCATGCTAGTCGTTTGCTCCTCAGAATGACTAATCGATAAGTATCTATGATAGTGGCGTCTTATGCGTGAGTAGATCACCTACATATGTTGCGGAGGCCATAACCTGCACAGCAGCGACAAGTGTAGACTCAGTTTTCGTAAATGACATAGTCAAGGATGTGAAATTCGGCCAAGAAAATATGGGTCACCTGAAAGATTTTATGGACACACGATTGTGGAATTTTTGTGTCTACAATTGACTAGGGGTATGGAACCGGCGTAGTAACCTGTCTGTCGATTCTTTACTGCGGTTTTTATAAAAGTCTGAACAGGCAGGCTAAGATGCAGCTACCTTTATTCTGAAGTAAAAGGTAGTGCAGATTGTGGGATTTCCCATGCATTTTATATTATTTAGGGGTAGTTCAGAAGTACGGTAAGAGTTGATGATAAAATTTGCCGATCAGGTTTTTGAAGAGAAGAAAAGAGCACAGAACCTACGTTCTTTCAAGTGAAGGTACGGATACTGCGGATTTTCGCCTGGTCTTTGTATGGCTCAGTGGTTAAGAGGTTAGTCTGCCGTGCAGACGACCCGGGTTCGATTCCCGGGTATGGTTTTTCTCATTTTGCGATTGGAACCTATAGCAGTAGTGCTCATTTTGTTGTTTTTAGGACGTTACAATAACATTGGTGAGATTTTCTGGGTGGTTTTCACCTCCCCATGTGGAAAATCCCCCATGTGGAAGGAAGTTGTCCATTCGCTTGTATTGACTATGTGCAGCTACCTTATTAGCCATACCCTGAAAAGCGCCTTACGGCTCTTATATCCCGCATTAATTTTCGCCATAAACACCCCAAGGTGGTCGTTCTTTGCGGCGCATGGGGTGGGCGCCGGGCATCCGGCGATTATCCGAGATCCCCCTGAAAAGAGGATGACTTATTCAGCTGCACTGCTAGCCGGCCATACACTTTCACTGTGCTCTTCTTGGCTTCTCTGAAAGTCCTGTAGTTCAACCGCATTTCCATTCGAACTATTAGCTCTAGCAAGGGCAAACCGAGGACTACACAAGCGTTTTTGCAGCGCGCGGCGACTCGGCAGCTCCGGTGACAGAGCACGTCATTCTGAGTTGAAACGAATAATTGAGTCAGAAGCACACTGAGTTTTTTGGCGCTCTCGATCGAATTACCCGCCGGAGCTAATGCCAAGTGCCTGCCGTCTGTCACGTACACGCACTTTTACACAGTAAAAACTAAATTTCCATTTTACCCGTTGAGCTGTTGGTGGCAGGAGATTTGGGAAAACTTGCGGGGGGGGGGGGACGCATAGGGACTAGGCTCTTAGCTGTGCTACTCTAAATCTTTAGTCTGTCCTGTTAGCTAGTGGTAGACAATTTTCTGCCGTAAGTTCTCAATATAAAGTCAACCTATAGCGTATCTACATATATTCCACGGTAAATTCACGCTAAACCCCCGGTAGATTCTCACATACCCCTATGAAATATCAGCTGCATACCGGTCTTTATTGCAGGTTCAACGCGAAAGGGAGTCTCATAACAGTCCATCATATCTTCCTGTGACGTTAGGTTGCGTTTTAGTGGCTTCAAGGCAAGTGTAGATACAGATAGCTAGGCACAGAGAGGCAAAATGCAGTTATTAGTAGGAGGAGATCGGCCGTAAGGCTAGGATCTGCATGGAGTCTCCTCTCAGCAATTTCTACGCGGTCGTATTTAATGCCGAATCTCAAGGTACTAGAAGGTGCGTACGACCTTAGGCGTTCTGTGTCTACACTTGTCTCAGGGCTACGGTATTTATTGCAGCTCGAAAGGAAACTTCTTATACCAAACAACTATAGTATTGGATTTGTAGTGCAATCTGTGCTAATGGACAGATACAGGCATCTAGCCCCTTGTATTTTTTCGGTACATTGAAATAGCCATGACCTCAAGACAAGTATAGACACAGATTTCTAAATGGGGGGAGGCAGGTTTCAACCAATAAAATGTACACCGGCTAAAAAACTATGAGTTAAGTCGAACCTTGTAAGTGTGTAGTCTGGGCATAGACTTCCCGCGGCTAGAGTTTCTGTGTCTGCACTTGTCCCGAGGGTACAGTATCTAGGCAGCTTTCATCGCAAATTGTGGTAAAATGAGCCCTGGTTGACTGCTGTAGCCCAATCTTTGAGCAGAATCTTGAGCAGAGAGAGAGCCAGGGAATTTCTGTTTAGCCTTGAATTTTGGGGACCTGTTCTCGTTAGGCGTGATGATGGATTTTTGGCGAAATTATTTTAGGAATCTTTTCGCAAATGGCTTCTCGCATTTGCTTCATTCACTTCATACCTGCTTTAGTATAGAACATTTTCAGCATACCGTATCCTTGAGTCAAGTGTAGACAAAAAACCCTGGCGGCTCATAGCCTTTCTGAATTCCCTTTGTGGTACGGATGTAGGATCTAGTAATATTTCCAGAAGCTAACTTTTTGTAATTAGTTATTGAAGTAAAATTAGTTGTTTGAAAAGAGTTATCGATCGGGCATCGGGTTTTGAGCCTTGCTATCCGCTGACAATAAGCTGCAGTAAGTCGTAGAAGGTTTCTGTGTCTGTACTTATCGTGGAGCTACAGTTTGCTCACGTTCGGCTCTGGACCTATGCTTAATGCGAGGAGACAGCTTTTTCCGTCCGTATTTGTTCTGCTTTTATTGACTGGATTACCTTATTGATTGATTCACCTATTCTACCACTGATCAGCTTTCTATTGACTATGTCCTATTAATTTTTTTACCTGAGCTGTCAAAATATTGATTGCTCATTGTTGGACGTTGACTTGTAGGCAGCAGGTGAAACGTCAGCTCAGCTGACAATGGAAAAGCGAGAAAAACGGGTAATTTCAGCCTGAGGCAGAAAGAAATGAGGCAGGGGCGGGGCCGAGAACTAATCGATTTTGACGCATTTCTTTCCAAACGCTGTGTTCGGAAATTGGTTGGTTATTATTTATTATCATTTTATTATTGATTGAATCAAGCACTCCTCCTCATCCTCTCCCCCCCCCCCCCCCC